GTCCACAAGTTTGTCTTCAATAAATCAGGAGATGCTGCTGTGCACTGTGCCTCCCCCTCCTTCTTTTCTGTATCTAGAACCTTTGCTTGACCCGGGAGAAGGTTCCAGTGTTGTGGAAGACATCCTGTCTGGTTCTGGTACCAAAGAAAACTCCATCTGCCCTCAATGACTATAGACCTGTTGCTCTGACATCCCTCATGAAGCAGGGGTCATCAAATTTTTGAGACTGAGAGCTACTTTTGGGGTACCGAGTAACACGAAGGGCTCGATACAAACAAATTGGCATGACTCACCTTTGTATATACAGTATATACTGTATATACTGCTCAAAAGATAAAGGGAACACTTATACAACACAATCTAACTCCGAGCAAATCAAACTTTTTTGAAATCAAACTGACCACTTAGAAAGCAACACTGATTGACAAACAATTCCACATGCTGTCGGTACATTCAACTTTGTACAGAACAAAGTATTCATTGAGAATATTTCCTTCTAGGATGTGTTATTTGAGTGTTCCCTTTATTTTTTTGAGCAGAGTATATTATGCTGATAAGCCTGGGTGGTCTGTTGACTGACCGTTGTATTTGTTCACATAATTGTTATGGGCAGGTTACAATATAAAAATGTTTGTCATAATCATGTCTTGTGATTATCTGACAGGAGTTTTACTTTTAAACTGTAAATGTATTTAATTTAGTTATGTTAGTTATGATAGTTTAGTTATGATGTAAATACAATAAAAATTAAACCAAGATTTAGAATAATTGTAATTTTGATCCATATGGTAATGTCTGACTGGGCTTCGTGTCACTTTATGTTCAATAAATTAGGCCCCGAGGTCAAAAATTGTAAGCACCCCTGCTCTATAGCGCCACAGGGCGTTTAGGCAACATGACTTATTTTCTTGAACGTAATTTTTTATTTCCATCAGTTGGTGTTTTATTATTTGATCACTAACATAGATTTTTGTTTTTATCATTGTGCATTCCCATTTTTTAAGGCATGAATACGTTTAGTTTTTGCCTGAATGCCTTGCTATTTTACTCGATTTCCCAGTTTGTTTCCTTTTCAAAACATTTCCATTTTATTTGGACTTGTTTCAAAACATAGACATATTTTACCGAGAACCACATAAACCTTTCAAWGAAATTGTATCCATTCGAATAAATTTTAGAAACTTTCTCATTATTTAATGAAAATCATCCTCTTTGAGGTCGTCTCTCCTTTTAATAAGCCAAAAACTTTATGATCAGAAGGCTTTGTCCGTTAACCCACAGATTTAATTGCATACKCAGACTTGCACAGGCTTGTATTTTAGAAATCAAATGACATTTGGGTAACTACAGTACATATTTTTCCTTTCATTCAACAACAAAAACAACTTTTTATACCAGTATTGTTAACTTTTTGKTGTGTTTTACAAGTCGTATTTGTTCATTTGGTAATATCTAAGGTTTACGTTTGTTCCAGCTAAAGAATTAAGCTAAAATAATTTACAGTATATAGTACAGCTGGAATCTTTTTGCAGATACTTTGCTTGTTCTCATCATACTGTACATATTCATGTCCCACAGTCCAAAACATGCATGCTTGTTGATGGCTGGAAATAGTTTTGGCTCTTTGTGACTCTGATTGAGACCAAACGTGTAAAGAAACTGACGGCTGAGACCAGTCATCTTGTTGCCCATGTTTGTGTATTTGTTTGCAGAATATATCGTGAATCATAGAACAGTTCAATAAACAGCTCAGAAACTAATTCTACACATCGCTAATTAGTTTGACTAACACTAAAATGGTCATATACAGTAGTTTTACACACAATGAGCTAAAATTTGATGCTGTTGCTGAGAGTTCTTCCTAACACATACTCTAAGTCCTAACAGATCATGTTGGAGAAGATGCCAAAGAGGAGAACTTTTAAGCAAAACATAACGAGACACTTTTCCCCATATGAACCTTGAAAGGTTATTCAGATATCCTATTTTGGCATAAAAAATAAACTTAATGTCAAGTCACGGCATATTTTGTGACTTTAAATTAATAATCATTATCGATACAATTTTTCATAACTACTATTAAACAGTTAATATGTATCTAAACAGTTCCCCCTCCTTTTCCCCTTAAATTAGCACTTTGCCTTACAAGGAGGCAGATAATACGCATTACTCCCAAGAAAAATAGGTCTTTAATTGATTATGATAAAGTAATGTTCAAAACTATTTTTTAGCCTAGAACTTTTGATTCATACTTTTTAATTGAAACACATATTTCACAGTGTAGGGACAATAACTRAGTGGGTAAGTCAATGTTGGCCCCATTTCATTTTGAACATCAATCATTTAATTTGTTCATAAATGACAGAAAACAATTGTTTCATGTTCATCTGCTGACCAAGGTATTCTCTGTCTAAAAGTACATAATGAATCAGAACATGACACACCTGACGTGCTTGTGAAATGGAACACATCCTGTCCCTCGACTCGACCCAGATGTGGAAAGACAAATGTGATGCAAGAGCCGAAAGTGCATAAGACTGGGGTTTGAGTCTAAACTCATGTTTCAACAAGATCCAGTSTGTTTACTGGAATATTCACCATGATGATGTTATCTTAAGCTGTTCATTCCTGTTTGTCTATAAAAACCTAATCAAATGCCATCTGGTCCTCAACATGTTAGAGCACTCTGCAACTTTTTTTTGTAATTTAAGCRGCAAAATTAAGGGATCGGCAGCTACCGTATATATTTGTGTTATTGGCATTAAAGTGCTTTCTCAATAATAGTGGAACAAACATTGCAACACAAAGGCCAGCAGGTTTTAAGTAATATTTGTTCTCTCAGTTCTATTTGATTGTATTGCTCTATCTTTAATATCTCAGTTTTCAAAAGCAAATGACGCCAATAAGCAGGAGGAAACTCGCAATCCAGTTAGCAGAACTGGTTTCCTGTGATCATTGGTTTTCCCGTCACATGACCATTCTTACTCAATACTGTATGTTTAGTTTTCAGACCACACACTCAAACTTCCAGAGCAAGCAACAGGGCCAACAAGTTCAGGTGAGTGAAGAAAGTGGATTAACACAACTTTAAAAAAGAGAGGGACCATCAGGTAAAGGTGAGTTTGATATCATATTCTATGCTTTTTTACTGGACATAAAAGAAAAAAAATCTCAGTTGTTCCAATTATCTCAATATCCTATTATTGGCATCTATTCAACATGTATAACATAGTTATAGTTCATGTATTTAGCACAAAAAGTAAAGGAATTTGTGTTTGAAAAGTTGTTTCTTTGTTGTAACAATGCTTCTTGGAAATTAATCTTATATCGTTGGAAACCCTGTTAATYTTCTTTACAAATGGTGCCACATTTRTAAGGAACATGCATTTGTGGGATGAGCAATAGAGCTGAGTTTGTGGGTTGTGCACATGAAAAWTTTGCCAAATYGTCTCTGCCAAACAGCTTATTTTGCTGTTGATATTGACTCTTCWTTTGAGCTTCTGATACCCTCAGGTGTAGCGATTCAGGTGCCTGCTATAAGATTTATTGTGACAAACCGTTGTTACAACAATGAAAAAATCTACCAAATGCATTTGTATGTACAGTATATACACACATTTTCACCTTTAGAAATTTTCTCAGTTTTGTTTCTTTACAACATRTTTCCCACTATTTTACTCAAATTGTCATGATTTGTGTTTATTTTCCTTGGTTTTTCTAGTGTTTCAGTGTTCCCCTTTTTCTCTGCCCTGCCGCCCCGCCCACATTAAACCTGTTTCCTCTTGTGTCTCGTCCAGGTGTTTCTCATTGTCCTCATTAGTTTCAGCTTTATAGTCAGTGTCTTGTCATCTTTTGTTTGTCTGTTCATTGTGCTGTTTCCCCTGTGTTCTTTATGTTCCTGTTCTTCTTGAGATCTTGTCAGGTTTTGAGCTGCCTCGACAGCRTTTTTGCTTTATTAAAGATCCTGTTTTGGCCTTTTTGAACCTGCCTGAGCCCTGGGTCATTCTGCCTGCTCACAAGCTCACACAAATTGTACAAGACAGGTCAAAAAATCAGAGCTAAAGGAAAAGGATATGCAGGGGTTGGACAATGAAACTGAAACATCTGGTTTTAGWCCACAACAATTTATTGGTGTGGTGTAGGGCCTCCTTTTGCAGCCAATACAGSATTAGTCCATCTTGGGAATGACATATACAAGTCCTGCACAGTGGTCAGAGGGATTTTAAGCCATTCTTCTTGCAGGATAGTGGCCGGGTCACTGTGATGCTGGTGGAGGAAAAYATTTCCTGACTCACTCCTCCAAAACACCCCAAAGTGCCTCAATAATATTTMGATCTGGTGACTGCACAGGCCATGGGACATGTTCAACTTCACTTTCATGTTCATCAAACCAATCTTTCACCAGTCTTGCTGTGTGTATTGGTGCATTGTCAATCTGATACACTGCACCGCCTTCAGGATATAATGTTTGAACCATTGGATGCACATGGTCCTCCAGAATGGTTCAGTAGTCCTTGGCAGTGACACGCCCATCTAACACAAGTATTGGRCCAAGGGAATACCATGATATGGCAGCCCAAACCATCACTGATCCACCCCCATGCTTCACTCTGGGCATGCAACAATCTKGGTGGTGCACTTCCTTGGGACTTCTCCACATTGTAACTCTCTCAGATGTGGGGAAAACAGTAAAGGTGGACTCATCAGAGAACAATACATGTTTCAMATTGTCCACAACCCAAGATTTACACTCCWTRCACCWTTAAAACTGATGTTTGGCAYRAGTGACCAAAGGATTGGCTTTAGCAGCCCGACTATGTATATTGACCCTGTGGATCTCCCGAYGGACASTTCTGRTGGAAACARGAGAGTTGAGGTGCACATTTAATTCTGCCATGATTTGCAGCTGTGGTTTTATGTTTTTTGGATACAATCCAGGTTAGCACCTAAACCTCCCTTTCAGACAGCTTCCTCTTGCATCCACAGTTAATCCTGTTGGATGTGGTTGGTCCTTCTTGGTGGTATGCTGACATTACCCTGGATACTGTGGCTCTTGGTACATCAATAAGACTTGCTGTCTTGGTCACAGATGCTCCATCTAGATGTGCACCAACAATTTGAACTCTTTTGAACTCTGGAATGTCACCCATAATGTTGTATGCATTGTAATATTTTGAGCAAAACTGTGCTCTTACCCTGCTAACTGAAACTTCACACCCTGCCCTTACTGGTGCAATGTGCAGTTAATGAAGATTGGCCACCAGGCTGGTCCAATTTAGNAGACAGCTTCCTCTTGCATCCACAGTTAATCCTGTTGGATGTGGTTGGTCCTTCTTGGTGGTATGCTGACATTACCCTGGATACTGTGGCTCTTGATTCATCACAAAGACTTGCTGTCTTGGTCACAGATGCTCCATCTACTGTAGATGTGCACCAACAATTTGAACTCTTTTGAACTCTGGAATGTCACCCATAATGTTGTGTGCATTGTAATATTTTGAGCAAAACTGTGCTCTTACCCTGCTAACTGAACCTTCACACCCTGCCCTTACTGGTGCAATGTGCAGTTAATGAAGATTGGCCACCAGGCTGGTTCAATTTAGTCATGAAACCTCCTACACTAAAATGACAGGTGTTTCAGATTCATTGTCCAACCCCTGTTTGTTTTTCTAATTTATATATTTATTTTGAAAAAGCTGCAGTAAATCAATGGCTTGCATTTGCAATAATAATTTTGTTTGCCCAGCTGCTTTTGGAAGCTACCTCATTAGTAAATAGGGTCCACCTATGAGTAATTTAATTGGCTGGACTTCAACTCCCACTACACTTRTTTTTGTAGTGGGAGATATTTAAACGTGCATGCATTTTCCTATTGTTTCACAATTTTAAGCTACTTTGGTTTGGTCTGCCACATAAAATTCTTTTTGTAAAATTACTTTGAAGTTTGTGTCTGCAATGTGACAAAATGAGGAAAGGACTATAAACAAGTCATTGTATACAASAGGAAGTACACCATGTCAGCAAAATTTAATGTTCAAAATCTCAAAAAACAAACAAACAAACAAAAAAACCCACTTCAAACAAAATAAACTTGTCTGAAATTCATAATAAAAATGAAGTAATTGCAGATATTAAAAAAGCAGAAATGAGCAAAAACAAACTGAAATTCAAAATTTGATGATGAAATACAGCTTTACTCTCTGTTCTCTGCATGGGGGAAATATGGGTTACGCAAATATTGCAGCATCCACTAACATTCAACAATTTTAATGCAACGTATCCTGTTTCCTCCCTTTCTCCTTTTTTACACCAGGTTTGTCAGGCAGAATTGCAGAAGCCACAAATTACTTCTTCAGAGGAACCCATAATGAACACCACAAGCTTCCAGCAGACCTCCTCCCCGAGCTCCCTCTCCTTGCCCATCAGCGTCTCGGCCCGTGTCGGCATCGCCATCCTGACCTTGGCGTTTGTTCTGGGTTTTCCTGGGAACGTGTTTGTCGTCTGGTCGGTGCTCTGCCGGGTGAAGAAGCGCTCGGTCACGTGTTTGCTGGTGTTGAATCTGGCTGTGGCGGATGCTCTCGTGTTGCTCAGTGCCCCTCTGTTCCTGCGGTTTCTSGCAGGAGGGCGGGGATGGGAGTTTGGCTCGGCGGCATGCAAGCTGGTCCATTATCTGTCGAGTGTGAACATGTACGTGTCCATCTACCTCATCTGTCTGATGAGCATGGACCGCTGGCTGGCGGTCACAAGGCCCTTTATGTCTCAGAGACTGAGAACCAAGCGCTCCCTGCTGGTTCTCCTGCTGGGGGTCTGGGTGATGGCGTTCATCCTGTCGTTGCCGATGCCATTCTACCGCAGGTAATCCAAAAATACTACCTCTATAAATGTTTTTAATTTGTTTCAGTGCTCAAAAGATTTAGGAGCCTACTAAAAAATTGTGTTTCCTAACAAAGAATAATAAAACTGAATCAGTCAAATGAACAAAAGTATCTATTTTTACTTTGTTTTGAGCAGAGGTCTTCATCCTTCATAACCCCATGTCCTGCATGCTTTTCTTGTTTCTCTGTTCACACCTGATCCATTGATTCAATTACCATTCAAATTACATTGAGGCCTGTTAATCATGCATTCCTGCAAATCAGGTGTGTTTAAGAATGGGAAACAAGGAAAACATGCCAAATAGTGGCCCCCGAGGACTGAAGTTTGACACTTGTGCTTTAGAGCATGTTGTAAATTCAAGGCCCACCCACCAAATGTGACCCTTGGGTAACTTCTGCCTGGCCTGTCAAAGGGGCCTCACCCACCTCCAAAAAAATCATTAAGTACATTTTTAAAATTAATTTAATATGAAAATAGGTTTTATATCAATTGCCAACTTTAAATTTATGATTGATGGCAACGAAATATGCACACTTAAAGGTTGAAAAATAATGTTACTTGTCCTGCCCTGTGATGTTGAATTTGAGTAACTGTGGCCCCCTGAGCAATATGTATTAATGTCTCAACAAAAGCTGCTTTAAAGCCAGCATTGTCCATAAACTACATCTCCCATAATGCATGACGAGTACGCAGGGGAATTTCCTGTCAGAAAGTGGGAGAGTTCAGCATTCAAGGCAGCAGCTGCTTATCACAACTCAACATTGAGTAAAACTCTTGCTTTTACTTTTAATAATATTTCTGTGTTATTTATTTCACATTTAGTCAGTCATACACATAGTGCTGCTCATCACAACTCAACATTGAGTAAAACTCTTGCTTTTATTTTAAATAATATTTCTGTGTTATTTATTTCACATTTAGTCAGTCATACACATAGTGCTTTTCAGTGTTTATAAGACGACCTGTTAAAACAYTGTTTCTATGCGCAAAATATCAAGTAGAGCCCAGTTATTAGTTAGCGATGCTCTGCTGTAACAAAGCGAGGAACGTGATGTTGTGTTTATTGACGTTAAACAYGAAATGTCAAAGTTAACTACAACTGGACATTTGAGAGGCACCATGATGCTCATGTGACACCCCTGTTTTAGATGTTTCTCTGCTTCGACCCATCTGATTCAAAAAATGTAATCACCTACTCAGAACACACCTGGGGGTGGGATTATTCTTTTATGGGTGGTGGGGGTTGTATTACACTTCAAGTTTTTTTATGATAAAGGTAGATATACTTAAATCAGCTTATTTGGTTTTCATGATGCATACAAATGCTATTAAATTAATGATTAAAATAAAAAAAGGTACTTTAATGCATTACTGTTACAGATCATCTCCAAGTGTCCTAACAAGGATACTAAATGATGAAACTGGGTGTAACTAACACACACACATACACAAAAAACAAAACAAAAAAAAACACACAGGTCATTAATCATTGCATTATGACATTTTTTGTTTTCTAAACAAAGTAAAATAAAATACATTAAACCTGTTTTTTTTTTTTTTGGTTAGTTTGATAGAAATATTGAAATTAGTAAAAACGGCATTTGCAGCTTCTGTTCAGTGTTATTATACAGTATATGTACTGATCTGTACTGTACTGTACTACTGTACTGTACTGTATGTTTTTGCGCTAATTTATTTTCAGGATTTTCCTTTTTGATTTTTGAGTTCTCTCATGTTCAGTCCTGTTCCATCTCTTCATTTTTCTTTTATCTCAWTCCTGTTTCCCATTCTCRTTAGTCTCAGCTGCAGCCACTCGCCTCATTCATCCCTGCACATGGCTTCTATTCTTTTYTCATTCCATCAAACTGCTGTTTCCTGCTCCATTCCTTGTCTGCWCCTTTAGTCTTAGCACTGTATAGGGACTTTGACACAATTCCCATGTTTTTGTCTGTAAATGCCACCACAATGGATTTGAAATAAAACAAGATGTGCAGAAGCTGGGTTTCATCCCTGGTGATGMAGTTCCTGCTTGTTCTTGGAGCATTTTCCCTTYASTTTTGTCTTCARCAAGTGTAATGCTCRATTGGWTTCAGATCAGATGACTGGCTTGAGCTTTGCATTGGCTGCTTTTGCAGTATGCGTAGGATCATTGTACATCTGTGAACTGCTAACCAATGAGTTCTGAAGCATTTGGATGAAAATGAACAGATAYTTTTTYCCCGAAACACTTCAGAATTCATCAGAATTGTGTCGATATCCCAATATTTATGAACCTGATTATWGCTGCTCTATCAGCTTGCTTCCTATACAGCCTTTTTTATATTAATCCATGGAGTCCATGTGTAAGTCTGCGTCCTTTGCTCCTACAAACAACAAATCCTGACAAAAATAAATCTCTTTTTAAAAAGCATATCACAGTTTGGAATGAATCCAACTGGAAGTACTTGATTCATTTTCTAAACTTACTTTGTCAAACATTCCTGAAACACATTTGAATGAAGTACCATAATATGTACATTCCTGCATTTTGCTGATATTTAATACACCAGTAAAAATATTCCTTCTTATTTTGAACAATGATGATGATTCTGATAATTTCCATCATGATTTTGGACAAGAAATATCATGTAGTCAGAGCTGTCACTAATAGCCACACTTTAAGCATWTGATTACACAATAAATCCTGACCTTTGACCATGACGAGTTCTGACTGCATTGTGGAACAAAAAAAAAAATCCAGTTTTGTGTTTTTTGTTGTTGCTGCTAATCATGACACAGTATTAGTTTGAGGTTGTTCAGGTTTCTGTTCAGACGGTGTACTATAAACATGAGTCATCAGTTACTGTTTAGTTTTAAAATCAACAGTCCTATGTAAGCTGCTCCATTTTCCACCTACACGGTTCGGTTCAGCTCCACCCCACTCCGCAYCCATTTTATGAATTTCCACTGTGGCTCCCGCCCGTTTTTGTCCCACTTTCGGCCCACCTTTTCAGACCTCTTCTTGAGGTAGTACTGAGGCCAGCACCATTTGGGGTGTGGAGGTGCCGAAGCGTGTAGCAAGTCACGATTGGCCAGTGAAGCTGCCTGGATGATGTAGTTTATTAAGAGCAAATGGAGATTTTCCAAATGATGGCGGTGCGCTGGGAGAAGCTAAAAATATATTGGGCCCGTTTTTAGAGCAGTGAAGGACCACAACAACAGCCGGAGTGGCTCAAAGCAGTGGGACTAGAGCTGCTTTAGGTAAATGGAGGGGATCGCTCTTTACAGCCACCGTTCAATTTACACATTGAGAAGTTTTTTGTTTTAAATTCCACTCAGTTTTTGTGTAGGTTTTAATTAATTTTGTACTGTTTTCTATTCAGATCTATTTATATTAAATGAATAACTATTAAGAGTTCCATCCATCCATCCATCCATTTTCTGTACACGCTTCTTCCTTTTCAGGGTTGCGTGGGTCACTGGTGCCCATATCCAGCAGTCACAGTGCGAGGGGCGGGGTACACCCTGGACAGGTCGCAAGTCCATCACAGGGCCTATTATTAAGAGTTCCATTTAATTGATATTTACTCAATTCCAAACATTGTAAAATTTTATTAATGACATTGCTTGTAATCTGTTGCCTCATTTCAATTGAGTAGATACGGTGAATTTTTTACAGTGTACTTAGCTTTTTTTTCCAAGTACTTTATAGACCTCTGCCGATATGTAAAAAGTCAAACCTGCTGTTTCCAATTTTGGCCAAAACCATTTTTTAAGGTCACAACTCACCTCCAATGTTCCATCGTTGTTTTACTAAAACACATTGAACAGTACCCTTGAATCAACTTGTTTTAACTGGACATCATGGAGTTCTTACAGCAGAGCAAAAGGAGACAGTGGCTGATTTTCAAACCTTTATGGAGAGAGATGAGAAGCCGATCTTTTCCACTGATCTTATCTAAGTATCAGCCAGTCTTCGATCTCCCAAACATGGCGTGATGCAACTGTATTGGTAGAGCAGCCATCTAATAATGCATTTCTGGGTATAAATCTAGATCATCAGCATAGACAATTCCCCACCCTGGTGGGTTGGATGCAGTGGAATTTTTAACAAACACTAACACTAAAATGAGTTCCAGTGCAAACTTACCAGCTACAAACTACCAGCAGCCACTGTGTTTATTACTCTCTAGATGAATCAGGAGTCAGTAGTTAAAGTATTTTCACTATAATAAATATTAAACATAAGTTAACTCTTTTTTCTAGAATTATCCCCATGAACAGAGTGAAGAACATTTGTTTGTTGTTGTTTTATTGTTTAACTGATGCCTCATCAACACATTTTCCCTAAATAATAGGAAGTGCAACCACAACAAGAACAGTCCACTGAGAAATTGAAGACATAATTTCATTCACAAAAGTTCCTAAACTTATACTTTTTCAGTTGTTTTACTTCATTAGTGGATGACTAAAGGACCTGCTATCACAGTCTTTATTTATTCTTTAAACAGATTGTATTTTATTAGTAAAACAATACATAAATAAACTGACACAGCCACATCATCAATATGAATATAAACTAAGTGTGCTCCTCCTTTCATTGTCCTAAAGTGAAGCCCTGATGTCTGCTTGTAGAGAGATGCGGTGTTGTATTTTTTGTGTCAAATTTTGGCAAGATTGTCGCACCGTCTTTATAAAAGTCCTGCTTACACAACTTCCCAATTCACAATCAGGCTGACACATAGCCATCCACAGAACATTTTCTAAGTCCAAGACAATTAAAGGAAAAACAAGCAAAAACATTTCTTTTAATTTTTTTTACCACACAACAGGGATGAGACTGCAGGAATCAACAAAAATCCCCATCTGAAAAACAAAAGATACATTTCTTTACCTTTATTTCTTTCTATATTTTCTTTTTAGTAAGTAAAATGTCCTACATGGAGGGGCAGCGAGCCGGGTTTCATAAAAATGTTTTACAATTGCAAAACAAGATGTGTTTGTGAGTTGTGTTTTTTTAATAGGCAGTAAATGATTAGTCTCAGTAAATGACACAGAATCAATCATTTGCTTTTTTAAACTAAATCACATTGAATCTCATTGTGTTGAGTCATGGCTCATAATGAAACACATTGTATTATGATTAAAAGCTGAACTGGTCTTGATTAAGCGGCTGGATTGCACCATATTAGTATTTAAAGTATTTTATGAATGAGCTCGTGGACAGACACACAACTTCCTTATTTATATTACCATAAACTTAAGGACAACAAATTCTGATGGAACATGGTGTATTTTTATTTGATAAAACTATCTATTCGCTCCTACTTTGGATACTACTTCAATTTGGACAAACTTGTCAAACTAGTTGTTAAAACTACTGCTGATGTGTCGGAATGAGAACAAGATCTGTGTCTCTAAATTCTTTTACATGTAATTTTGCAAGNGCTGGAGTACCTAGAGAGAACCCACACATGCAAGGAGAGAACATGCAAACTCTACCCAGAAAGGTCACCATGCTGGGATTCGAACTGGCAACCTTCTTGCTGAAAGTCATCAGCTCTACCAACTGAGCCACAGTGCCGCGTAAGTGTACTGTGACTGACTAATAATCATCTATTAATCTGTACATTAATTTGAACTTAATCAATGAAATAAGTTGAATCTAAATATTCTTATTTCTTAGAAATAACTAGCCCATTAGAGAACCAGTTACATTTTGATATATGATCAGTGGAAGCAACTATATTTCATCTCTCCTCAAATGTCTTGTGGCTGGCAGTTCACATTTTTCAAAAGGAAAGAAAAAGTGCACTATTTCATTGATTAAGTTCAAATCAATGTACAGATTAATAGATGGTTATTAGTCAGTTACATTACACTCAGGTGGCACAGTGGCTCAGTTGGTAGAGCTGCTGCCTCTCAGCAAGAAGGTTGCCAGTTCAAATCCCAACCTGGGGAGCTTTCTGGGTAGAGTTACCATGTTCTCTCTGTGGATGTGTGGGTTCTCTCTGGATACTTTGGCTTCCTCCCACAGACCAAAAAACATGACTGTAAGGTCAATTGGTACAGATAATGGATGGATGATACATTATACTTAGATGTAGAGGTAAATCAGTTTTCATTAGTACTATTTACACATTGAGAAGTTTATTTTTTAAAATTCCACTCAATGTTTTTGTGTAGGTTTTAATTAATTCTGTACTGTTTTCTATTCAGATCTATTTACATTAAATGAATAACTATTAAGACTTCCCTTTAACTGATATTTACTCAATTCCAAACGTTGCAAAATTTAATTTAATGACATTGCTTGTAATCTGTTGCCTCATTTTTATTGAGTAGATATGGTGTATTTTTTACAGTGTACTTAGCTTTTTTTTTCCCAAGTACTTTATAGACCTCTGCCGATATGTAAAAAGTCTGACCTGCTGTTTCCAATTTTGGCCAAAACCATTTTATAAGGTCACAACTCACCTCCAATGTTCCATCGTTATTTTACTAAAACACATTGAACAGTACCCTTGAATCAACTTGTTTTAACTGGACGTCATGGAGTTCTTACAGCAGAGCAAAAGGAGACAGTGGCTGATTTTCAAACCTTTATGGAGAGAGATGAGAAGCCGATCTTTTCCACTGATCTTATCTAAGTATCAGCCAGTCTTCGATCTCCCAAACATGGCGTGATGCAACTGTATTGGTAGAGCAGCCATCTAATAATGCATTTCTGGGTATAAATCTAGATCATCAGCATAGACAATTCCCCACCCTGGTGGGTTGGATGCAGTGGAATTTTTAACAAACACTAACACTAAAATGAGTTCCAGTGCAAACTTACCAGCTACAAACTACCAGCAGCCACTGTGTTTATTACTCTCTAGATGAATCAGGAGTCAGTAGTTAAAGTATTTTCACTATAATAAATATTAAACATAAGTTAACTCTTTTTTCTAGAATTATCCCCATGAACAGAGTGAAGAACATTTGTTTGTTGTTGTTTTATTGTTTAACTGATGCCTCATCAACACATTTTCCCTAAATAATAGGAAGTGCAACCACAACAAGAACAGTCCACTGAGAAATTGAAGACATAATTTCATTCACAAAAGTTCCTAAACTTATACTTTTTCAGTTGTTTTACTTCATTAGTGGATGACTAAAGGACCTGCTATCACAGTCTTTATTTATTCTTTAAACAGATTGTATTTTATTAGTAAAACAATACATAAATAAACTGACACAGCCACATCATCAATATGAATATAAACTAAGTGTGCTCCTCCTTTCATTGTCCTAAAGTGAAGCCCTGATGTCTGCTTGTAGAGAGATGCGGTGTTGTATTTTTTGTGTCAAATTTTGGCAAGATTGTCGCACCGTCTTTATAAAAGTCCTGCTTACACAACTTCCCAATTCACAATCAGGCTGACACATAGCCATCCACAGAACATTTTCTAAGTCCAAGACAATTAAAGGAAAAACAAGCAAAAACATTTCTTTTAATTTTTTTTACCACACAACAGGGATGAGACTGCAGGAATCAACAAAAATCCCCATCTGAAAAACAAAAGATACATTTCTTTACCTTTATTTCTTTCTATATTTTCTTTTTAGTAAGTAAAATGTCCTACATGGAGGGGCAGCGAGCCGGGTTTCATAAAAATGTTTTACAATTGCAAAACAAGATGTGTTTGTGAGTTGTGTTTTTTTAATAGGCAGTAAATGATTAGTCTCAGTAAATGACACAGAATCAATCATTTGCTTTTTTAAACTAAATCACATTGAATCTCATTGTGTTGAGTCATGGCTCATAATGAAACACATTGTATTATGATTAAAAGCTGAACTGGTCTTGATTAAGCGGCTGGATTGCACCATATTAGTATTTAAAGTATTTTATGAATGAGCTCGTGGACAGACACACAACTTCCTTATTTATATTACCATAAACTTAAGGACAACAAATTCTGATGGAACATGGTGTATTTTTATTTGATAAAACTATCTATTCGCTCCTACTTTGGATACTACTTCAATTTGGACAAACTTGTCAAACTAGTTGTTAAAACTACTGCTGATGTGTCGGAATGAGAACAAGATCTGTGTCTCTAAATTCTTTTACATGTAATTTTGCAAGGTTTTTTTTGTGCTGATGGGGTTAATGGACAGAAAATGTACTTAGTGCTACTGGACCTATTTACTGTAACAAAAAATGGAAACTTGTAGATGATTAGTGTTGTGGAATACTTATTTCTGTATCACCTTGACACTATCCACTTTTCATTTCTTCTTGATATCCTCTGGACGTCAGCATCAAGTTGACCTATTTCCGTGTATCAGGATGGGGCAGGTTGGGATTGGTTGTTCATTATCACATGATGTTAAGCTGACAGTATAACATTGCATGGCCGCCAATGACGGGCGGGCCCACATTCAACAGACTTCGTGATTGCTTTCTGTTCCATGTCTGCCCATCAATAAATGACTTTATGATTATACCCGCAAGACTTGTCTTTTAACACCCTTTTCGCYGTGTTTCTGACCATTTTGCCGCGACAATTAGTTATCTCATTACTAATGCAGAATTGAATCCAGTAAGAATGAACAGTAGTGTCATGACATGAAGCAGCTCCAATTCGTCAAACTTTATTCTGGTTAATGCAAAAGTGATTTAATAAACATTATGTTGTCATCAAATTAATATTATAAAATATATTATTAAATATTTTTTGTGGTTCTTTAGAAGCTCAAATAGCAGAAGAAAGAGCTACACTGTAGGTTAGTTGTGATTTTGTTTTAAAACGAGCCAGAAGTTGCATTTTGTTGAAAAAAATAGAACCCTAAGTTGTTCACTTTTTCGTAAGTGCTCTTCATGTTTTGCTGTGCCTTCCTTTTCCAGACGACCACCATATTTTCATCATAATCTGGATTTGTTTACATTTTAGCTGTGCATATGTTGTAAATGAGTTGAAATAAAGAAGWGGGCATTTGAAATATGACCACTGAGTTACACTTTGAAAGCTCTGCTTTTTTTTAAAAAAGAAGTTATTTTATCATTTTATATTGTACATATTGCAGCCAGGGCAGAGCTGTTGCCTCTCRGCAAGTARGYTGCTGGATGGAACCCTGGCCGGGGACCTTTCTGGGAGGAGTTTGCATGTTCGTTTTGTGCATGTGGGTACGGTGGTTTCCTCCCACAGACCAAAACCATGACTGTTTGGTTAATTAGTWACTCTAAATTGTCCCTKTGTGTGAGTGAGAGAGTGAATGGTTGGTTGTCTCAATTGTCTCTCTGTGTGGCCCTGTGATGGACTTGCGACCTGTCTAGGGTGTACCCTACCCCTCACACAGTGACTGCTGGATATGGGCACCAACACCTGATAGAAAGAAGTGGGTAAAAGATAATGGATGGATGTACAGTATATTACAGCCCACAAGTCTCAAGGGTTTTGTCATACTGTATATCATGATTGGTTTATGGTAAACATGTGTGAACGTGAAAACTAGTTATTAGTTTTTACTGTTTTGTAAACTTCACATGCTTTCATTATGATACCTCCAAACACATATCTGCGTCTTCTTTGAATTTGTCTTCAAACATTCACACAAGTTTATCTGCTGCCTCATGCTCTTCCTGTTTGTGTCTCAATTCCTTTCTTCCTCTCTTGCAGCAATATGAAGGTAWTGAAAAACAACTTCACTCTGCACTTTTGCATCCCATACCACTGGCAAAGTGTGGGTCACCGGGCCTTCCAGTACCTGTTTGAGACCATCATGGGCTGCCTGGTGCCGTTCTCGCTCATCAGCTCATGTTACTCCTCCGTCATATGCAGACTGCAAAGTGCCAAGTTCCAGCGCAGAGGAAAAGGCAGCCGCCTCATCCTAATGATCATCTGTGCCTTTGCCATTTTCTGGTTGCCGTATCACATCGTCAACTTAATTGAGGTGATTGTGTCGATCGTCACAAGACACAAGTTTTTACTGACCAACCCAACTGTAATGATTAAAACCATAAATCACTTTGTAAAATTTTGTTTTGTAAAAATTCCCTCTTGTTTTCCTCTCTTCAGGTGATTGGGCTCTTGAGCAGCAGCCAATCGGTGATCCAGGCTGSTCAAACAGCTCGACCCAACGTCACCGCCTTCGCCTACTTCAGCAGCGCCGTTAACCCTCTCTTGTACGTGTTCGCCGGTAGCTCCCACATCCGCCAGGCCGGACTGAGCTTCATGGGCAAACTGTTCGAGGCCACCAACTCTGAAAGCAGAAGCACGTCSACCTTCACCCGCAGTGGCTCCTCACCGGATGAGAGCTCAGTTCTGCAGACGCTGTCCGTTAAACTCGGGAAGCCTTTCAAAGGCAAGACCAAAGAGAGGCGGAGCAGCAGCTTGGCGGGCAAAGAGGCCCACGAGCCAGAGCTCAGAACGCTTGCAACTATTGAACAGGTAGAATAGAAATCAAGATATTTTTACATGGACTTTAAAAAAATAAAACAGTGTTGTAAAACTACTCCTAAAAGTATTTTTTTCCTAAAAGATACTCAAGTAAATTTAACTAAGTAAATGTAACAAGTTACTACCCACTTCTGAAAATATCTTTATTTTGGCAAATTTCAGTGGGTTATGTCAAAACAACACYGGATTATGGCCTTTTATGTGTGATGAATATATTAATGTATCTAAAAGTTCTATGCCTGKAATAATATACTTTGCTTTATTTTATACTAGAAGAATAATATAAATATATGTGAAAATACTTAGAATATTTAAAGAAAATAAATGTGATTTAGTTTGACGGTGAAGTCCAAAATCCTTTTTACATTCATGCAGCCTAAAGGGCAAAGGCTGACAATAGTGTAATTGCCTTGAGCCGTGTTTCCATAATTATTTTTATGCGCATTTTGGAGTATTGTATTAGAAAAAATTGGTAGAAATGGCTAAATTTAAAAAAAAAACACTCTAAATTTCACAATAAAAGGTGTTTAAGCTCAGTTGAATTGGTTTTTCAATTTTCCGAAAAAGAGGTAATGTGCAGAAGTGGAAATAGAAACACATTTGCTGAATAGGTTCTGATGTAGCAAACATTTACCTCACATGGTGGATCAACGTCTGATGACATTACATTTTATGTAGCCTGATTGATTCGCTCCTGACCAGTAAACATGGCTGATGCTCATTTCTTTCATTTTTTTCTTTTCTGCAACATTTTAAAAGTTTACTCAAAATTCRCATTCAAATTGGATGGAAACATRGATAGTGTCTGTTATTTAACAAAGTCTCTCTTAACTGTTGGACAGAATTTTAAAAAAATTGACAAAAGTATTAAMTGAATTACCATTAATGTATTCACTTTTAAAATCAGCCTGATTCAAGATGGCTGCCACAGTAAATCGACCTTAGAAAACACACATGAACYTACGTATAACTCAGTAATTTTTACAAGGATTTACTGAAACCTTTGTGTGCTATCAACAAAGTCATCGCCAAAAGCTGCTCTGGGAACAACACATTTTACAAGATCTTTGTTTAAAAATTTGATGATATTTGTTGAAGGTATTTCTGTTTAAATTTAAACAAATCTCTTAGAAAATAATTATTACTGATTAACCTTTGAAGTTAGCTCAATTCAAGATGGTCGCCATGGCTGTGACTGTAGAAAACAAGATATTACCATTTTTGCAATTTCACCAACAAAGCTAAAACACCATTACTTTTCAAACTGAAATTATCTTACTTTACAACTCTTGTCATGAAAGGCAGCATGGGATATTCTTCCTTCAAGGAATGGGCACTTAATTAATTGTATGAATTGATGAGCATGTTTTATAAGCTGAAGTTATGTGTTATATGATAGTTATATGTGATAAAATTGTATGTTTTGTGCAGCATACTTATTGAATTTATGCTCTTTTTTAAATAAATTTGCCTCTTTAAAAAACAGTTTACTGATTTTTAACAGGGTAACTATTTGGTCATTCTGAAATCCTTATGTTGCTAATGCAATGTTCAACCAAATGAACAGAACATTTCACAAGAAATGTTTTGCTAAAATCCTCTTTCTTTCATCAGTTCGTGCATCACTCTAACCGCGTTTCTCAACAACGAACTGTTTGTTTCAGGATGTCCATGTGGTTATCTGATCACCACAATTAAAACAGTTCCTTAGAGCAAAAGGGGAATTTTTGCATGAGTCAGGTTTATGGACCAATACAAAAATACAAAAAATTAAGTAAAGGTAATTTTGTTACGTTTATGATAATATACTAATATACTAACRAATTAAATCACAATATGACATTGTA